CACGTGCCGCATAAGCATAAGAAAAATATTAAGATGAACCTGCGGCTGAGCATTACGAGCTTGTTGGAGGAATGGGATGCGGAGACAGACATCAGTTTGGTGGTGACTTTGGTGCCAAAAGTTGGGAAGGGGCCAATCACCATCGAAGGGTTTAGCATTGAGCTTATTAATACTACCTGAGTATTCATGTTATTGTTGTTCTTGTTGTTGTTGTTGGGTTGGCTTAATCGTGGTTTTCTAGCTAATTAATCTTAAACGTACGTAATATGCTCATCTACTGCTTACGTGGCAGATGATGGTTGGTGTTCCTCGTGAATAAAAGCACTATTGTGTTTCAGTGTGTTTATTTATTGAATAAAGAATTGATGGTGGAGTTTAATCATAGTTTTCCAGAATTATTGATGGTAGAGTTCTTGAAAAATTAATGGACCGTAATTGTGTGTAAAATTGTTTATAAAACTAGTACACTACTTTACTATTATTATTATTTGTGATAATGGAGAGGACTAACAATTGAGTCAAATTCTTGCGCAAAGAGAAAGATAACAAACATGTAAGCCAAAAAAGTGTAGGGGTAAAACCACAATAAAGCTAAATATGTGGTAGCGACTAGCATAAAAAGTTCTTTTTTTTTTTTTTTTGGAAGAAAGGTAAATTTTATAACAAATAACTATTTAGGGACTCTAACCTTCACCTTTAAGTACTCATTTAAGTACTTAACTGAAATCTTTATCTTCTTAAAGGAATATTGCCTCCAATTGGAGCGTCTTATAGTAGAATTCTTAAATTTGAAGTTTTTATGATTTTATATAATAATTTGATTACGTGCACATTTTTTGTTTATATTAACCTTTTATAATTAATTAAAAGCTTCAATCAAAATTGTAGGCCCCGTTTTCAACTCAAGGTACACATTTTTGCTTAGGGTATTACTAGATAGACTAAATTTGTAGACGGATGAGTAGACACATCCGTCGCCTACATACCGTTGAGATGGCACTATCAAAATCCAGCTAAGGCAAGAAACTCCGTGTCGTGGCTGCTCCACTCTGCAAAGACAAAACTTTGTAAACTAAATGACATGGAAGTTGATGATTGATTATTACTTAAGCGTTGATAAAAATTCTCATTTCTATTAGCGATACATCATTTGGTTTGCAAATTTTGTCTATAAATTTAGTCTCCTTAGCATTTCCTTTTGTGGGTAATGCTAGGGAGATTAAATTTGTAAACAAAATTTGCAAACAAAATTTGCAAACCAAATGATGTGTCATCAATAGGAATGAACACATTTATCAACGCTTAAGTAATAATCTAATCATCAACTTATATATCATTTAATTTATAAAATTTTGTTTACAGATTTAGTCTCTCTAGTATTACCCAAAATACAAAATATACAATATTTGACACCCATATTTCGTTGACTATTCATTAAATCAAGTGATTCATCCATCAACTTTTACAACCACCTTTCCCTTTACTGACTTATTCTTTATATAGTCACTACCTAGGTTATCTTGCAAGTTAACTACTAACAACTTTCTCTAACAGACTTAAGGTTCATTTGGAAGTATTTTTAAAATGACTGAAAACGCTTTTGATAAAATTGATTTTGGGTTCCAAAAGAACTTTAAATGCTTTTTGAAGAAGCACAAAATATGTGCTTCTTGCAGGAAGCACATAAAGTGTTTTTCCATTATCTACTTAGATTTTTACTAAGGATTGGTTTCATAAATATTTTCACTTAAAGAGATTTCAGTTATTTAAAAAAAAATCCAAACGAGCCCTTATCCACTTAGCAACTATCTGTTATCCTAGTTATAGCACTTCTACATCTCTGATTCAACATGCTGAGTCAGCAATTACATAGAATCCTATCACATGGCCATGTCTCCTTTTTTGTGTCTCTCATTGTAATAACTCTTTTGAGAATTCAACAAAAAAAATGATATATATTGTAGCACTTAAATGGTAACTGGTTAGTAAGTTAGAATGACATTATATTTAACATGAATTGTTTACCAGGGAAGGAAGCTTATCTGTTAGTTTCTTTTTTCTTAGACCATCTCTAACTGAAGTGACTAAATATAGCTCAGTTAAAAATTATAACCCTGCAAGAAATTATTTTCTATGAACAATGCCAAATTATATTCATTATTCATATACCATTTCCAACTAAAGTGACTAAACATAACCATACTAAAATAAAAATATCTTTAAATTTATTAAACATAACTTCCTCAATAATTTTTTTATTTTATGTGTTATTTAAATTTATTAATTAATTTAATTAAAGTACTACAACTTATACCATATTAAAGTAAAAATATCTTTTTCGGATATTATCGCGAGACACATGTCGAGCTCATGGAACTAATGTAACAACTAAAGCATATATGTATATATAAGAATATACAATTTACAAGGACACAACAAAGACAAGATTTGTATTCATTTCTGCCCGGATGTGGTACTAATTAATTCCAAAATCAAAACCATACTCATACATACAAAGCCTTAGTTTTTACAAGATTTTCTTCGGACCGGATTATTTACAAGGGTCACAACAAAAGAAAAAAAATCTTCTTTTTTTTTTTTGGTATTGCAAAAACAGTGCTATTTACAAGGAAATTAGGGTTTCAGTTATGTTGGGGACCTTCAGACTCGATTTCTTTAGCCAGTTCTTTTGTGAGCATGTCAGCCCGGTCATCATGTCCACCAGCGAATGTGTAAACCCTAAAAGCAAACTGAAAAGCCTTCCGCTGCATTTTCACACAAATCTTTTGTTTGCTTCTGATCAGTTTTTGTTCCAGTCTTACCTGCGGCCTTTGCTTCTCTCCTTTCCTGCATCATTTAACATTTCAAAGTCAAAACTCCCTTTTCAAATCATTGTTATTTGTTTTTTAAAGTAGTTAATTCTGAGTACTAACCTTTAGTGCCATCTCCATGCAGCTTGAGGAGACATCCACCATGGCTTCTTTGATCCGGATGAGGATATTAAAGTCGAAATGGATATTCTGGCTCTGAAACTTCTTGGCTTCGTCGTCTTCAGTTCGTTCCATCGTGTCTATTTCTCCTTTTATCTGTGTATTACCTTTTTTTATTAGTTATGGAAAATGGAAAGAGACAATTAAGTTTTTTTATATAAGAAACGATAGTGAAGACAATTAAGTAAGCAGAGATTATATTCACATACCCCAAATTATTTCTCCCACATCCTTTTAAAATTTTTAATATTTTCTCACACCCACTAACACTTCCCACTAACACTTGATAGAAAAATATTAAAAAATTAAAAGGGTGTGAGAAAAGTAATAGTAGTAAGTTTTTTATATAAGAAACGATAGTGGAGACAATTAAGTAAGTAAGATTGTATAAAATGAACATTTGTGCACCTTTATCAAAGTAGCGTTCGGCCTTGTCAAGGAGCTGACCCAATGGAACCACTAGTTTCCAGTTTTGTAGTTCATTGAGCATTGTATTTAAATTTGTGTGTAGTGCTGCTGCCATCCTTATTGCTTCCAACTTCTTTGTTGGGAACCCTTCAAACCTGGAGAGTACCTGCAATTCAGAAAACGGCATGTCACAAAACACGATTATGAAGTGATCATAGAATTAGAATGGAAATGAACAAAACTAAAGCGGACAATTAATGGTATTGACCTGTGACTCATCAGTCAAGTGTTCAAGGACGGATTCGACTTTCTTGTGAAACTGCATCAACCCATTCATGTCTTTTGTTTTGAAAGAACCATGATTAAATTCGGGCTGGGTCAAACTTAATACAGATGGTAGTGTAAGGGGAATTGCGGGTATTGCCACAGGAGGGGGTTTGCTTAGGGATGACAGTGGAAGATGGATCATGGGCTTTGGACTCAATATAGGAGGAGTATGCCCTGTGACCGCAGCAGAACTTTGGGCTTTATACCATGGGCTGGAACTGGCCTGGGCTGAAGGCCTCAGGAAAATCTCAGTGGCCGTGGATTCCACCGCTTTGTAGATTCTCCTTTCGGTAAAACCACTCATTTCTTTTCCTTGTCGAAGCCATTCTCTTCTTATCTCATTTCCGTGATAGGCTTTGCATACTTCTGAACATCTTCTTCAGTTTGTTGAAAGTATGCTGATCTGAGACACAAAAATTAGAAACATTATATGCATGGTTTTCGCATTATTTTGAGTACTTAGATTACTTATCCATACAATAAATACCTCTTTGTAATCTCTGCTAGAGCATCAGCCATTCCTTGTTTTCCACCAGAGCTGCTTCCAATTCCACTCTTTCTCCCGTTGGATGCCTTGCCATCCAAGCTAGATCCTTTCACCTTTCTCTTGAGAAGACGGTAGAGACTACCCATCTGAGGTGATCTCTTCAGTTAGTGTCTGTCTTGTGGCGCAAGGATCTTCCTGTGCCGAGTGCGGGAGGTGGGGGTGGAGCAGCTCCATTTGATGGGCCTTTTATCATGGGTGGTGGCTGTGGAGGACCTCCATTTGATGATCCTGGTGGAGGTGGTGGGGGTGGAGGACAGCCAATTGACGGTCCTGGTGGAGGTGGTGGTGCTGGAGCTCCATTTGATGATCCTGGCGGAGGTGAGAGTAGGGGTGGAACGACTTTTGTTGACCTTGGTATCACTGGTGTTGGTGGAGGGGTTGGATTTACTGACACTGGTCCTGGTTCCATTGGTAGAGGCGGTGGGGGTGGTGGCCCCCTAACTGCTACTACATTATGTGGGGTTAATGTTGGTGGTGGTGGAGTTGCTGTAACTTGTGGCCGCATGGCGGGTAGTGATGGTGGTGGCGGCGGTGGTGTTGCAACATTTAGCTTCAAAGTGTGTAGTGGTGGTGGTGGAGGGGATGTTGGTATTCTTGTTGCTGTTTCTGTATTGGACAGTGAAAGTTGTTGCGTTGGTGGAGGTGGAGGTGGATGCGGAGGCGGAGGCGGAGGTGCTGATTTTGGTTGTGGAAGTGTAGGTGAGGGTGAAAGCAATGATGCTCCTGTGGTGTCTGCTTCCAATGCTTCAGAGGCCGTGGTTGGAGTTTCAACATCATCACTTGTGTTGTCGATACCCTGTCCACTAGACTTCTCATCCAAACTAAGATTTGGGGCTACTACTTCCTCATCTCATCTGTTGCTGCAATTGTCTTTTGAGGGTTGCTCTCTAATTCTGTCCCAATTGGTGGGTCTTCAAACAAATTTTCAATCTTGTCCAGGCCATTGTTGGTACCATGAGCTCCTTGTTTTGATAAGTGAAGAGACAAGTTCTTAACATCAATCGGATTTAGCTTCCCAACTGCTTGCACTCTCAGAGTCCAAAGTAATGGTGATTTGGAACCAATGTTGGCCTTCTTTCGTGCTCTCGGAGAACCATCAATCTCGGGTAGGACAGAAGATGGAGTGATCGGAGAAGGACAGGTGGAACCTGAGGCGTAGCTCTCCGAATCGCTCAAGAACTTCCCAAATGAGCAATTCCGAGGGCTGTAATCTTCTCTTTTCTGGCCATCCTCATCCATCATATCAAACTTGTCCAGTGCCATCTTCATCAAGCAATCAAACGTTTCCAGCACCGTCTCAACTACAAAATCGTATAGAGAATCAGCCTTAACTTAAAATTTCACAAATGGAAATAACAATTAGGCTGTTGCTTCCATTTCCAAATGGGAGGCCTCGACTAGTCCTCGAGAAAAATTTGTAGCATACCGAGTTCATCCTGATTGACATTCTCCTTGGGTGATGGGAAATCATATCTCGGTTTGTCCAACCTGTCATAACTTGTCATCCAAGACTCTCCAATAGATTTCAATGCCTTGCAGAAGGAGGCCATGACCTGATTGTGGATGTTTAATTTGAGAAATTAGCTTAATGGTCTCGAGTATAATTACATATGCGTACTAAGCCATTTCTTATGGATCTTAAATCCTTAATTACCTTCTCTGTACATGCTTCCTTTATCTCCGACAATTGTTTATGCAGCACAATTTCAGGGAAAAGCTTCTGTAGATCTCCCATCAACCTCATTACCATCTGCAAGCAGAAAATAATTGGAAAATTAAACAAATTGTGTTTTAATCCTGAAATTGAAGTACAAGATTTCAACGGGAAAAAAGGAAATGTTATTAGCAATCCAAAAAATTCATTCTGCGCTCCATCTTTTAATCTTCATTAGGGAAGAGTGTACTATAACATGTTTAGAGTTCCTATAAAAGCGCTTTGGAAAAAATAAAAAAGGGGGCACATACCTCAGTTATTGCAGCAGAAGCATCACATGCTGGTAGGTCGATGATGCCTCTAAAGATGGTGATCTTCTTCCGGAGCTCAGTCATCCGAACCTCATTGGCTGAATCTCCGCAAGACCTATCTTTTGGCATGCCTCCTCTCCTAGAAGCATTCTTCTGTTTCACAGGCAGACTCTTGGTTGGCCCCCTTGGAGTCTTTCATTGCCAGAAAGAACAACTCTATTCATGTTAACCATTTTCTAGTCTACACCTTATTGTGAATCGATTCATTTTCAGTGATTATTTATTTTATGAACCTTAATCAAAGATTTATGGCTGCATTCAACAAACTTAATCTAGACAAGAAACAATGCTGCCATGTTTCCATTTATATAGATTATTAGCATGCCTAGATGTAGATGGTCAGTTTTTACTCGACCTCATCCTCAATGTGACTAGGATTCTCTCCATTCCTCTTTCCATCCTCTTTCATCTCCTCCTCTTACATTCTCTTACATTCTCTTTCTCTTGCTATAAAAAATTAATATAAGATGTTAACATGGTTTAATTGTGACCGTTCAAATAGAAGATGAGGGAAAAAAATAAGGAAGAGAATCCTACTCCCCTCAATGGTGCTATGAATAATATGAAGTTTAAAATAATAAAGTTTTGTGAAAAATTCTTGGTGACAGCCAAATCGTATAGAACAGAACCAAATGCGCCCTCTGTGTGAAATACATTTTCAAATATGAACCACGGCTTTTTTCTTCTTCTTTCTTTTTCGAAATATAGCAACGGATTTTCTTAGGATACTCCTACAATTCATCTTTAGAAGAGACTAGTCATTTAAATTGAAGAAGCTAAATCTGGAAAAGGACAAAAAAAGAAGGGGGCTGCAAATCGAAGAAGCTGAAAAGAAAAGGAAAAAAGGCGTTAAGGGAGTAGCCAAATAGCTTCGAAAGCAATTCAATAGTTGATAACAACCCATTTAAATTGAACCCAAGAAGCTTCTACCATTTAAAATTCAACAAAACACAATCTATACAGTCGGAAAAAAACAAAAAAACGATTCCATAAGATTCAGGAAAAAGAATAAAAATTATATACCTTGTTGATAAAGAAAGAGCTTGCAAAGCTGCAGATAAAAACTGGAAAATTCGAGCAACAACTTTTGCTGCAACTAAAAATCAAAGCAGTTCAGAAAAGTACACCCAAAGCTTGAAAAAAATTAAATCACACACAATCAGAAAAATAGAAAACTCACCAGTAAACGTTTGATCGTATTGTTAACTTTTCCTGAAATCAAAAATCAAAACACATAAGAGAACTCACCACAATCCATATAGTTGCATAAAAAACTTGTAGATGCAAGATTAGAAGAACTCACCACAAAACTATCCACTTTGAGACCAGCAGAGGCGAAGAGAGGGGAGAGCAAACGGCTACGGAAGAAGCGAAGCAAGAGAAGTGGGAAAAAAATTGGGGAATCATTGCAGAAAGAAGAAAAGGAACCGGACAAAAATGTTGAAGGGCAAAGTTGAAATAACAAAAACGAAGCAAGGGCATTTGGTCCGCACACTGCCCTAGAACAGTGGCACACGAGTTTGTAATTTTAGTGGTGTTTACTCTGAATCAATACTTACCACGTGATTAGAAAGTGATTTGTTCATCTAATATAAACTTGTCACATGATAAAATAATTGTACAAAAGAATCTCTCTTTTCATCGAGACCGGAATTATTGAATTATGATAGGAAAATTCTACGCATGCTTTGAAACACATCAATCAGTCTATACTATTAACCACGTATTTCTTCATTGTTGGGGAAATTCTACGTAGCATGTTTTTCATGATTACATTATCTTTAACATTCGTAAACAAAATAGAGGTCTAGATTCGCAGACTCGATGCCTACCTATTATTTTTCATTGATTATTGGTCATGCTACTAGCTGACTAGGAAGATCGACTCTCCCTTACTGTTATTAAAATTTCGAAATTTTCTAATTCTCATTTGTTTTTGTTGCATAAGGTTTTTTTTTTTTTGGTTAATTGTTGCATAAGTAATTTGGCATGTATTTTTTAACAATGTTGGATGAGAAATCTAATGGTTTAAGAATTATAAATAAGAATTTAAAAAACATTTAGTGACATTAAAAAAAGTATTTCTTTGTAATTTTAGTGGTGTTTACTTTGAATCAATATTTACCACGTGATTAGAAAGTGATTTATTTATCTAATATAAACTTGTCACATGATAAAATAATTGTACGAAAGAATCTCTCTTTTCATCGAGACCGGAATTATTGAATTTATGAGATTTAATTGCAATGTGTCCATTTTATGTGCGGTAGTTGTTGATTTTTGCGCGGCGGGTTCGAATCATATAAACCTATAAATAAAGATTAAATTGCAATGTTTGTATGACATTTAAATTAGTCTGGACTTGTAGTTTAGAAGTAATGTTTCTAACATGGTGTATGAAACTTAAATATCCCATATATTTTTTTCATCCACTGTATAAAAAATGAAAATACATGTGTTAATCACTTATACAATACATCCAAACGAGAATAAGAAAATTTCAGAATTTGAATAAAAAATTATGGGAGAGTCAATATGCACATGATTTTTGCTTTAGTACCGTGGGATAATAGCTTACCGTAAGCAAAAACACAAAATATAAATTATAAATATAATAGAAGGATAACTGGAATCGCTCCGGGGGTCTCTCACCCGTCCTTGACCTCTTACCAAGAATTTTGGCTTCTATCCCATCCCAGGGCTAGAATTTTAATCTCTGGAAGGCAAAGCTTTTCTATTCAACTCTTCATTGTTTGTTAATCTGAATTACAAGGGATGTTTATAAAGCCTAAAAATGACCGCATGAAGGTAAACTTATTATAGTAAAGAAATCCTAATCCAAAATAAAATAGGACACTATATCTAATCCTAATTAAACTGGAAAGAATTATAGAGCTCGTTGGAAGTGATTTTAAAAGCTGATAGTGTTTTTGGTGAAAATGATTTAGGAACCAATGCTTAGTAAAAATGCAAGTAAATTCTAAAAAAAAAACACTTAGTGTTTCCTTAAAAAAACATATAACCGGTGGTTCTTATAATAAGCACTTCAAGTGCTTTTGAAATCCAAAAATATTTTATCTAAAAACGTTTTTAATCATTTTAAAAGTACTTTGAAATCAACCTTTAATTCTTATAAACTAAGCAATCATAAAACTACCCCCTAGATATTAAAATACTAAGGACTAAAGACTAAAAAGGCTAAAATACCCTTTAATTTAGGAAGTCACCACTCTTGTTCCACGTGACTTAGCTATTACTAATTTACTATCACCAGTAATTGATGAAAGATAACATCAAAATAGAGAGGCATATAGAGTCAGCAAATCTAGAACCTCTCTTTTTCATGCAAATTTTCCTCATCGACGAAGAAAAATGTGCTATATATTTTTTATTCATGTGTTTCAAAAGTGGATGGTCTCTTCCGTAAGGTGGTGAACTTAAAGAAATTTGAGGTTGTATTGTAAAATTAATTAGTAAATAGAGAGTGGTTTAATTCTTTATAAGCTCTTGTATGATTTGATTTCTCACCGATGTGAGACTTTGTCTTTACATTCTTACACTATTCTCGCACGTGGCAAATTTTAAAACCTAACATGCGGACAATACAAATTGGGTGACGTGGAACATGTGTAGCCATTGGACTTCACACGTGGGCTAATATGAAGATTAGTCTAACTCTTCATAAGCCCTTGCATGATTTGGTTAATCACTGATGTGGGACTTTGTTCTCACATTCTCACACGCTCCATCATGTGTGGCGAATATTCAAACCTAACATATGAACAATACATAAAATCTCAATTTTCTACAAAGTATCAGAGTTGGTTGAATCAGATGTTTAATTATTCTTTCGTAGTATGAAGTCAATTGAACTACGTGTTTGATATGTAAGGATGTAAATGTTGATCCACATCAAAAAGTTAAGAGACCGTTTACGATTTTAATTTGTCCTGAAAGATGCATTTCACCACTTGATGTAGCTCGTATGGGAAGCCTAACTTTTTTTTTTTTTTTTTTTTTTTTTCTCGCAATATAGATTGTTAACTTTTTCTTTTAATTTGAGGGATTCTCCTTGTCTTAATGATGTTGACATCAGAGTGGTATGGTTCATGAATCTTGACTAAGAAAACCCTGCATTCATACACACATTTTTAGTGTGCGGTCCCGCCAATTTCAACTATAAAAACATCACAATCCCCTTTCCTTCTTAATTGCAGAGTGGAAAGGAAAACCAATTCAGCCATGTCTTCATCTCCCTTACCAACTTCTACAATGGCCACCCTGCACTCCACCACAACCACCCTCTTCCGCTCTCCTTTATTCCCAAACAAGTCCCAGACTCCACTGCAACGAAAACCCAAACAATGCCTTGCGGGTAGAGTGCGCTGCAAAACAACAAAAGGTGACAATGATAACCTAGATCAGGGCCTAGCAAGACTCGACAGGAGGAACATGCTGATAGGTTTAGGCGCCGGGGGTCTCTACGGTGCGGTAGGAAACCCATTTGCTTTTGCCGCACCAGTATCCGCCCCAGACTTGACCACGTGTGGCCCTGCCAACAAGCCAGACGGGTCCACCATCGATTGTTGCCCACCTACCACCACGACCATCATCGACTTTGAACTCCCTGACTCAGGCCCACTCCGCACTAGGCCCGCTGCTCAGGACGTTGCAAATGACCCTGAATACTTGGCCAAATACAAAAAGGCCGTCGAGCTGATGCGGGCACTTCCAGACGACGACCCGCGCAGTCACGCACAACAGGCGATGGTACACTGCTCATACTGCGACGGTGGATACCCACAAGTCGGATATTCGGATTTGGAGATCCAAGTTCACTATTGTTGGCTCTTCTTCCCGTTCCATCGTTGGTACCTCTATTTCTACGAGAAAATCATGGGCGAGCTCATTGGGGACCCAACCTTCGCCCTTCCGTTCTGGAATTGGGACGCGCCAGCTGGCATGTACATTCCTGAGATTTTCATTGATACGTCATCATCCCTCTACGACCAGTACAGAAATGCAGCGCATCAGCCCCCAAAGCTCCTGGACTTGAATTATGGCGGGACTGACGATGACGTCGATGACGCGACACGAATCAAAGAAAACCTAACAACGATGTACAAGCAGATGGTGTCGAATGCCACTTCTCACAGACTCTTCTACGGAGAGCCCTATAGCGCAGGGGACGAACCAAGTCCTGGTGCCGGAAACATTGAGACCACTCCCCATAACAATATTCACCTTTGGGCTGGTGACCCAACCCAGACAAACGGGGAGGACATGGGGACATTTTACTCTGCGGCGAGGGATCCGCTGTTTTACTCTCACCATTCCAACGTGGACCGCATGTGGTCTATATATAAAGATAAGTTGGGTGGTACGGACATAGAAAATACCGATTGGCTGGACGCAGAGTTCTTGTTTTACGACGAGAAAAAGAATCTCGTGCGCGTCAAGGTTCGGGACTCGCTCGACACGAAAAAACTCGGGTATGTGTACGACGAGAATGTCTCGATCCCATGGCTGGAGTCAAAGCCGACGACTCGTAAGTCAACAAATAAGAGAAAGGCTGCGGTTTCATCTTCTGATCTTTCTACAACGTTCCCTGCTACACTATCAGATATAATCAGCGTCGAGGTGACGAGGCCGTCTACGACGAAACGGACAGCTGCCCAGAAGAAGGCGCAGGAGGTGCTGGTGATTAAGGGGATTGAGTTTGCCGGGAATGAAACTGTGAAGTTCGACGTGTATGTGAACGATGATGCGGACTCACTGGCCGGGAAAGACAAGTCGGAGTTTGCTGGGAGTTTTGTTCACGTGCCGCATAAGCATAAGAAGAATATTAAGACAAACCTGCGGCTGAGCATTACAAGCTTGTTGGAAGAGTTGGATGCGGAGACAGACAACAGTTTGGTAGTGACTTTGGTGCCGAAAGTTGGGAAGGGGCCAATCACCATCGGAGGGTTTAGCATTGAGCTCATTAATACTACCTGAGTATTAATTAATGTTATTGTTGGTTCTTCTTGTTGTTGTTGGGTTGGCTTAATCATGTTTTTCTAGCTAATTACTCCTGAACGTTCGTAATGTGCTCATCTACTGCTTATGTGGCAGATGATGGTTGGTGTTCCTCGTGAATAAAAGCACTATTGTGTTTCGGTGTGTTTATTTATTGAATAAAGAATTGATGGTAGAGTTTAATCATAATTTTCTAGAACTAATGATGGTACACTACTTTAATATTATTGTTATTTGTGATAATGGAGGACTGACAATTGAGTCATAATCTTGCGCAAAGAGAAAAGATAACAAACATGTAAGCCAAAAAAGTGTAGGGGTAAAACAACTATAAAGCTAAATATGTGGTAGTGACTAGCATAAAAAGTTTTTTTATTTTTTATTTTTGGAAGAAAGGTAAATTTTATAACAAAGAACACTAACTTACATAGAAAATACCCACATACAAATAGATACAAAGCAAAAATGGACCTCCCAAGCTAACCAAAAAGGGCCCAACCAAGAGGCCCAAACCAAAAACAAATCGAAAGAAAATTCGAGAAGCCTGCTACCACTGCTGCAACATTGCGTCACGATCAACCTGATTCGGCTCCCCCAATAGACACCTAAAACCCAACCATGCAGCAACACACTCATTTTCGGTGTGATGTAATCGAATCCAACGTGATACAACCCTTACGCGGCTGCTTACTCAATGTAACAGTAACTGGTATATTTCATTACAATATCAACTTTTACAACAACCTTTCCTTTTACAGACTTATTCTTTATATAGTCACTACCTAGCTTATCCTGCAAGTTAACTACTAACAACCTTCTCTAACAGACTTAAGGCTCGTTTGGAAGTACTTAAAAATGACAAAAAACGTTTTTGGTACAATTGATTTTGGGTTTCAAAAGCACTTTAAGTGCTTTTTGAAGAAGCACCAGATATGCGCTTCTTGCAAGAAGCGCATAAAGTGATTTTTCATGATCCACTTAGATTTTTACTAAGGATTGGTTTCATAAACATTTTCACTAAAAACGCTTTCAATCATTTAAAAAACACTATCAAACAAGCCCTTATCCACTTAGCAACTATCTGTTACCCTAGTTAGCCCATCCACTTCACTGATTCTATATGCTGAGTCAGCAATTACATAGAATCCTATTATAGAGCCAAGATATGCTGTCTCCTTTTTTGTGTCTCTCATTGTAGTAACTCTTTGAGAATCAATAAAAAAATGATATATATTGTAGCACTTAAATGGTAACTGGTTAGTAAGTTAGAATGACATTATATTTAACGTGAATTATTTACCAGGAAGAGAAGCTTCTCTGTTAGTTTCTTTTTTCTTAAGCCTCTCTAACTGAAGTGGCTAAGTATAGCCCAGTTCAAAATTATAACCCTCCAAGAAATTATTTTTTATTAACAGTATCAGATCATATTCATTATTCATATACCATTTCCAACCAAAACGGCTAAACATAACTCTTTCAATAATTTATTAATTTTATGTTTTCTTTAAATTTATTAAAAAAATATCTTTTTCGGATATAATCGCGAGACACATGTCAAGCTCATGGAACTAATGTAACAACTAATACATATATGTATATATAAGAAAATACAATTTACAAGGACACAACAAAGACAAGATCGTATTCATTTGCCTGGATGTGGTACTAATTAATTCCAAAATCAAAACCATACTCATACATACAAAGCCTAATTTTTTACAAGATTTCTTTGGACCGGATTATTTACAAAGGTCACAACAAAAGAATAAAAATCTTTTTTTTTTTTGGTATTGCAAAAACAGTGCTATTTACAAGGAAATTAGGGTTTCAGTTGTGTTGGGGACCATCAGACTCGATTTCATTAGCCAGTTCTTTTGTGAGCATGTCAGCCCGATCATCATGTCCACCAGCGAATGTGTAAACCCTAAAAGCAAACTGAAAAGCCTTCCACAGCATTTTCACACAAATCTTTGTTTGCTTCTGATCAGTTTTTGTTCCAGTCTTACCTGCGGCCTTTGCTTCTCTCCTTTCCTGCATCATTTAACATTTCAAAGTCAAACTCTCTTTTTCAAATCATTGTTATTTGTTTTTTAAAGTAGTTAATTCTGAGTACTAACCTTTAGTGCCATCTCCATGCAGCTTGAGGAGACATCCACCATGGCTTCTTTGATCCGGATGAGGATATTAAAGTCGAAATGGATATTCTGGCTCTGAAACTTCTTGGCTTCGTCGTCTTTAGTTCGTTCCATCGTGTCTATTTTCCCTTTTATCTGTGTATTACCTTTTTTTATTAGTTATGGAAAATGGAAAGAGACAATTAAGTAAGTTTTTTATATATATAAGAAATGATAGTGAAGACAACTAAGTAAGGAGAGATTATATTCACACACCCCAAATTATTTCTCCTACACTCTTTTAATTTTTTTAATATTTTCTACACACCACTAACTCTTGATATAAAAATATTAAAAAATTAAAAGAGCGTGGGGAAAGTAATAGTAGTAAGTTTTTTATATAAGAAACGATAGTGAAGACAATTAAGTAAGATTGTATAAATGAACATTTGTGCACCTTATCGAAGCAGCGTTCGGCCTTGTCAAGGAGCTGACCCAATGGAACCACTAGTTTCCAGTTTTGTAGTTCATTGAGCATTGTATTTAAATTTGTGTGTAATGCTGCTGCCATCCTGATTGCTTCCAACTTCTTTGTTGGGAACCCTTCAAACCGTGAGAGCACCTGCAATTCAGAAAATGGCGTGTCACAAAACACGATTATGAAGTGATCATAGAATTAGAATGGAAACGAACAAAAATAAAGCGGACAATTAATGGTATTGACCTGTGACTCATCAGTCAAGTGTTCAAGGACGGATTCGACTTTCTTGTGAAACTGCATCAACTCATTCATGTCTTTTGTTTTGAAAGAACCAAGGGTGGTTCTCATTTCCATGATAGGCTTCGCATACTTCTGAACATCTTCTTCAATTTGTTGAAAGTATGCTGATCTGAGACACAAAAATTAGAAACATTATATGCATGGTTTTCGCATTATTTTGAGTACTTATTAGAAACATTATATGCATGGTTTTCGCATTATTTTGAGTACTTAGATTACTTATCCATACTATAAGGACCTCTTTGTAATCTCTGCTAGAGCATCAGCCATTCCTTGTTTTCCACCAGAGCTGCTTCCAATTCCACCCTTTCTCCCATTGGATGCCTTGCCATCCAAGCTAGATCCTTCCACCTTTCTCTTGAGAAGGCGGTAGAGACTACCCATCTGAGGTGATCTCTTCAGCTTAGTGTCTTTCTTGGGGCGCAAGGATCTTCCTGTGCCGAGTGCGGGAGGTGGGGGTGGAGCAGCTCCATTTGATGGGCCTTTTTACATGGGTGGTGGCGGTGGAGCACCTCCATTTGATGGCCCTTTTAACATGGGTGGTGGGGGTGGAGGACTGCCAATTGACGGTCCTGGTGGAGGTGGTGGTGCTGGAGCTCCATTTGATGATCCTTGAGGAGGTGGGGGTAGGGGTGGAACCACTTTTGTTGACCTTGGTATCACTGGTGTTGGTGGAGGGGTTAGATTTACTGACACTGGCCCTGGTTCCATTGGTTGAGGCGGTGGGGGTGGTGGCCCCCCAACTGCTGCTACATTATGTGGGGTTCATGTTGGTGGTGGTGGAGGAGTTGCTGCAATTTGTGGCTGCATGGCGGGTAGTGATGGTGATGGCGGCAGTGGTGTTGCAACATTTAGCTTCAAAGTGTGTAGTGGTGGTGGTGGAGGGAATGTTGGTATTCTTGTTGCTGCTTCTGTATTGGGCAGTGAAAGTTGTTGCGTTGTTGGAGGTGGAGGTGGAGGTGGAGGTGGAGGCAGAGGCGCTGATTTTGGTTGTGGAAGTGTAGGTGAGGGTGAAAGCAATGATACTCTGGTGTCTGCTTCCAATGTTTCAGAGGCTGTGGTTGGAGTTTCAACATCATCACTTGTGTTGTCGATACCCTTTCCACAAGACTTCTCATTCAAACTAAGATTTGGGGCTACTACTTCCTCATCTGTTGCTGCAATTGTCTTTTGAGTGGTTCTCTCTAATTCTGTCCCAATTGATGGTTCTTCAAACAAATTTTCAATCTTGTCCAGACCATTGTTGGTGCCATGAGCTCCTTGTTTTGATAAGTGAAGAGACAAGTTCTTAACATCAATCAGATTTAGCTTCCCAACTGCTTGCACTCTCAGAGTCCAAAGCAATGGTGATTTGGAACCAATGTTGGCTCTCTTTTGTGCTCTTGGAGAACCATCAATCTCGGGTAGGACAGAAGATGGAGTGATCGGAGAAGAACAGGTGGAACCTGAGGCGTAGCTCTCTGAATCGCTCAAGAACTTCCCAAATGAGCTATTCCGAAGGCTGTAATCTTCTCTTTTCTGGTCATCCTCATCCATCATATCAAACTTGTCCCGTGCCATCTTCATCAAGCAATCAAGCGTTTCCAGCACCGTCTCAACTACAAAATCGTAGAGAGAACCAGCCTTAACTCAAAATTTCACAGAAGGAAATAACAGTTAGGTTGTTGCTTCCATTTCCAAATGGAAGGCCTCAACTAGTCCTAGAGAAAAATTTGTAGCATACCGAGTTCATCCTGATTGACATTCTCCTTGAGTGATGGGAAATCATATCTCGGTTTGTCCAACCTGTCATAACTTGTCATCCAAGACTCTCCAATAGATTTCAATGCCTTGCAGAAGGAGGCAGGACCTGAATGCCGTTGTTTAATTTGAAAAATTAGCATAATGGTCTCGAGTATAATTACATATGCGTACTAAGCTATTTCTTATGGATCTTAAATCCTTAATTACCTTTTTTGTTCCAAAAAAAATAAAATTCCTTATTTACCTTTTCTATAGATGCTTCCTCTATTTCCGATAATTGTTTATGCAGCACAATTTCAGGGAAAAGCTTCTGTAGATCTCCCATCAACCTCATTACCATCTGCAAGCAGAAAATAATTGGAAAATTAAAAAAATTGTGTTTTAATCCAGAAATTTAAGCACAAGATTTCAACAGAAAAAAGAGAAATTTTATTAGCAATCCAAAAAATTCATTTTGCACTCCATTTTTTAATCTTCATTAGGGAAAAGTACTATAACATTT